GATGTATAGAAGTCACATTGTTGAGTTGGATGAGAGATTCGTATTGCGCTGATGAGCGTTTGAACTCAGGGAACTATGACATTCTTTGTAATCATATTTTTGATAATATAAGCTGTGTAACTCGGTTCTCTTCTTACCTCTTTTGTCACGTGTGTGAAGACTTCAGTTCATTGTGTGTGATGATGGTGTATGCTGTGAACACTCTTGCGTGAGATGGTCTCCAGGACCCATGCAAATTTTGGTATCGGAGCACTATGCTCGTTTCACTCATAGCGCTGGCATGATCAAGGCCGGCGAGAAGAAGTACCGAAGGTGGTGATGGAGGATTAGTGGAAGAAGGTGAGGAGGAGAGGAGAAGGAGGATTAGTAGTAGGAGCAGGCCGAAGAAGAAGGGGCTTATGACACTTACCTGGAGCGTGCTGCGCGACGAGGAGCGACATCGAAGGTTCTTCAACAAGAGAGAAGCACCTCCTGCCCTTAACCTGCATGCTTGTGTGTGTCCCCTACCTTCTCTCTCTTCCCCACTGCAGGTGACTGCTGCTGGTCTGGAAGTCGAGTTTGGATCTGGATCACCATAACGAGTCTGGAGTCTGAGTCGTCAGAGTTTGGGTGGTCCGAATGCAGTGTGTCTGGATCTGGTCACGTCAAATTGGGTGGTCAGTGTTCTGTAGGTAGAGTTAGAGTCATCTCTCCTACCCCTCTTGAGAGATAGGCTGTGTCACGTCACCCGGAGACTGTGAATCGATGTGGGTAGTGGCTATGTGCCACGTCAGATTGCAAGTACCAGGCAGTGAAAGTATGATGATGAGCATCCACAGGGATAATTAAGCCAGAAAGAAAGAACATTTGAGCAAAGTACTATTGCCTGGTTGACTACGTGTAACATCTGCATCTGACGCTTCTGCGCTTTGACTCCATACCTACATTCAAACAGCCAACGCCGGTTAGCTAAACAAACAAGGCATAGAGGGGGAAGTACAGCGAGGTACAGGAAACACATTGTACGAGTGTGATCCAGGAAAACCAGACAGAAGAAGAAAATAAAATAAAATAATATATGCATATATAGAAAAAGCAAACATTGTATTAAGTTTGATTGAGTGGGATAGTGCTGTGGTGAACCTGCGGAGGAACCCCTGTGCCGATCATCATCATGGATGACTATCCCATCCAGGGTCTGTTGACCCTCTGTGTTCTGTTGGGGCCCTTGTTCCGACTAATGTTTCCTTTGGGATTCGGACGTGTGTGTACGTCCCGGGCGATACTTCGGTCTGGGACAGTAACACCTGGGCCCACACCTGCGGAACAGGCAGAAA